GGTTAATTGCCCTCACTGTTAGGAAGTTTCTCCTTATTTCTAGGTTGCTTCTGTCCTTGGATTAGTTTCCACCCATTGTTTCTTGTCCTCTGCCTTCAGGTGCTTTGGAGAATAGCTTGACTCCCTCTTCTTTGTGGCAACCCCTGAGATATTGGAAGACTGCTATCATGTCTCCCCTGGTCCTTCTTTTCATTCAACTAGACACACCCAGTTCCTGCAACCGTTCTTCATATATCTTAGCCTCCACTTCCCTAATCCTCTTTGTTGCTCTTCTCTGCACTCTTTCCAGAGTCTCCACATCTTTTCTACATCATAGCAATCGATATAGAGCAAGGGCAGGTTTTTTTTAGTACCCAGCTTGCTATTTTATCTTAATTGTGAATTATTTTTATCCTATGCAATCAATTTGACTTTCCCCCATTGTCATCTCCGAATAAAATGTTCGTCTCTCAGTCTGAATCACTGAGTGCACATTCTCAGATTTCTTTGGTGAAAGGATGTGCAAAAAGAAAGAAAGAAATGAAAGAAGGAAATGAAAAAAGGAAGAAAGAATGAAGGAAACTAAGGAAAGAAAGGAAGGAAGGAAGGAAAGAAAGAAAGAAAAGGAAGGAAGGAAGAAAAAGAAAAGAAGGAAGAAAGGAAGGAAAGGAAGGAAGGAAAGGAAGAAAGAAAGAAAGAAAGAAAGAAAGAAAGAAAGAAAGAAAGAAGAGGAAGAAAGGAAAGGGATGGAAGGAAGGAAGGGAAAGAAAGGAAGAGGAAGGAAAGGAAGGAAAGGAAGGCAGGAAGAAAAAGAAAAGAAGGAAGAATGGAAGGAAGGAAAGGAAGGAAGGAAGAAAGAAAGAAAGAAAGAAGAGGAAGAAAGGGAAGGGATGGAAAGAAGGAAGGGAATGAAAGGAAGAAAGGAAGGAAGAAAGGAAGAAAAGAAAGAAAGAAAGAGGAAGGAAAGGAAGGAAAGGAAGGAAAGGAAGGAAAGGAAGAAAGAAAGAAAGAAAGAAGGAAGGAAGGAAGGAAGGAATGAAAGAAGAAAGAAAAGAAAGAAAAAGGAAGGAAGAGAGGAAGGAAGGAAGAAAAGAAAGAAAGAAAGGGAAGGAAGAAAGAAAGGAAGGAAAGAAAGAAAGAAAAAAAGAAAGAAAAGAAAGAAAGAAAAAAGGAAGGAAGGCTGTGTTTTTAAAATCAAATTTCACTCTATTTGGCAAAAGATTTGCTGATGTTTCAAAGGAGAAGATGAGGGAAGCCTGTTGGTCTGGGCTTACTGGTTTCTGGGGTATCCAAGCTTTAGTCCTTTCTGATTGGAAAGGAATAATGGGGACTGTTTGACATTTGCAAATGGTCGGCACACAGGAAGCGTTTCCTTTCCGAGAAGGCTGCCTGTCCTGTGGCCTCCAGAATATTCTTTTACTTTCTGTGTAGCAAAGATCGGTGGTGATTGGCGCTGCAGCCCCCAAAGTCCTGCTGCTCTCCTTTGTTCAAGTAATTATCTGCTTCATCATGTTTTTATTCAAAATACCTGAATCGCCTAGTTGCACAGGAAGAAAAACTGGAAAAGGTAGCTGGAGTTATCCTTCTCCTATCCTCCTCTTCCTCCTCCTTTTCCTTCGCTCTCTTTCTCCTTCATTTTCTCCTTCTCCTTCTTCTTCTTCGCCTCCTTCTCTTTCTCTTTCTCCTTCACCTCCTCCTATCTTCTCCTTCTCCCAACCCTTCTCCTTCTTCTCATTCTCCTCCTTCTCTTTCTCCTTCATTTTCTCTTTCTCCTTCACCTCCTCCTTTCTCCTTCTCTCCCTCCTTCTCCTTTTCCTTCTCCCTCCTTCTCCTTTTTCTCTTCCTCCTTCTTCTCCTCCACCTCCACCTCCTATCTTCTTCTTCTCCCAATCCTTCTTCTTCTCCTTCTCCTCATTCTCCTTCTCTATTTTCTCTTTCTCCTTCTTCTCCTTCTATCTTCTCCTTCTCCTCCTTTTCCTTCTCCCTCCCTCCCTTTTCTCATTTTCCTTCACCTTCTCCTCCTCCTTCTCCCTCTTTCACCTTCTCCTTCTCTCTTCTTCACCTCCACCTCCTACCTTCTCTTTCTCCCTCTCCTTCTCATTCTTCTCACTCTCCATCATGCTTCCTTCTCCTTCTTCTCCTTTTCCTTCTCCTCTTTCTCCTTCATTTTCTCTTCCTCCTACTTCTCCTTCACCTCCTCCTTCTATCTTCTCCCTCTCCTTCTCCTCCTCCTTCTTCATTTTCTCCTTCTCCTTCTTCTCCTTCACCTCCTTCTCTTCTCCCTCTCCTACTTCTCCTTCATTTTCTCCTTCTCCTCCTTCACCTCCACCTCCTGTCTCCTCCTTCTCCTGATCCTTTTTCTTCTCCTTCTCCTCCTTCTCTTTCTCCATTTTCTCTTTCTCCTTCTTCTCCTTCACCTCCTTCTTCTCTTCTCCCTCTCCTACTTCTCCTTCATTTTCTCCTCCTTCTTCTCCTTCACCTCCACCTCCTATCTTCTCCTTCTCCTGATCCTTCTTCTCCTCCTTCTCCTCCTTCTCTTTCTCCATTTTCTCTTTCTCCTTCTTCTCCTTCACCTCCTCCTTTTGTCTTCTCCCTCTCCCTTTCCTTCTCCTTCTCCTCCTTCTCCTTCATCTTCTCCTCCTTCTCCTTCATTTTCTCCTTCTCCTTCTTCTCCTTTACCTCCTCCTTCTGTTTATCTTCTTCTTCTCCATCTACCTTCTCCTTTCTAGTAACTTGGGTTCCCTCCCAGAAAATAGAGCTGAAGTTGAACGGATTTGATGCATTGTGAAGCTACCTTGGTATCAAAAGAGGGAATACGCTATTTTAACACAGGTCCCATTCCAGGCGAGAATCACTTTGGTAGAGTGGTTAGGACGCTGGACTAAGAGTCAGGAAACCTGAGTTCCAGTCCTGCCTTATGGATGAAACCAGTTGGGGGACTTTCTACAGTTCTTCGCTCTCAACCGTAGGAAGAAGAAGAAGGAAACTCTGATAAATCATAGCCAAAAATGCTGCCTAGAAAACTCCAGCAACTTCTTTATGTAGTTGCCAGAGGTAAAAATGGAACAAGGTACATATATACCAGTGGTTCCCAGCAGTGGTTCTGCTGGCTGGAGAATTCTGGAAGTTGAAGTCCACAAGTCTTAAAGTTGCCAAGTTTGGGAACCACTGATATATACACACAGAGAGCTAAGCGTAATGAAACCCTTTCCTAGGACATGCAATGAAGAAGGAAGGAGGGAAGGAAGGAAGGAAGGAAGGAAGGAAGGAAGGAAGGAAGGAAGGAA